GGGGCTTCGCGTGCGGTGATCGCAGAGCGCGCCGCTCTGGGCCGCGTCGCCGACAGGCGAGCGGGCGGGCGGGCGGCGAGACCGCCTCCAGAGGTTGGCTACGGGGGTCGGGGTCAGAGGACGCGCCAGGGGCAGGCACGTCGGGGTCTAGACAGCAGCGGGCACACTCACTCGGGGGGCCCAGGGTTCTCTTTTAGTGTGTTTACCAGGCTCCCCTGGGCTCCGCGCCCAGGTTTCATAAACACACGTCGGGGTCTAGACATCCTGACGTTGCCCGTTTTTCATAAACGGGCGTTTCTGCCCGGTTTCGCGCCCAAGGACCCTCGCAGGACGATCCGGCGCGAATGATGGCGCAGGAAGATGGCGTGCGGGGCTCAGAGGGGGGAGAATCGAGGTCTGCAGGGTTTCTCGTGTTTCTGACATTTTTGGGGGCCTCGCGGGGCCCTGTCGTGGGAGGCGGACGACGGCCAGGGAGGGGGGCAGTCAGCCGGAGTGGAAGGGAGAAGGAAGGGGGGGAACCGCGTAAATTTTCCAGGAACCTCCAGAAATCAGCCTCCCGTCCTTTCTGTCTGGCCTACCGAGTAATGTGCGTGTGTGTGTGTCGACGTATATTGCTAAGGCCTTACGGCCGGTGCCGCCGACCCTGGAGGCCTCGGACCTCGGCAGAACTGGGAGGGAGAGGGCGGGCCATGGGCCCCGGGAGGGTGGTATTCTGACCCTGGATGCCCCCTGGGACCCCCTTCCCGGACCCCCCCCCCTTCGAGTAAACACCCACGTTGCTCAGATTGGCTTCCCCTCCACGTCGCGGCCGCTCCCCTCCCCCGACGGGAACCGCCCAAGTGCCCCCCCCTTTGTATCCGGGTGGGACCTCCCCCCCGACCCCTCCCCCCCCTCCTCGGGGGGAAGGGATAAAAGGGAAGGGGCTTCCCTTCGAGTAAGCTACGACGTTGCTCAGATTGGCTTCCCCCCCGTGTCCGTGGGGGAGCAGAGTGGCTCCCCCCCTGGGTCGCGGCCGCTCCCCTCCGCGTCGCGGCCGCTCGCCTCGCCCGAAGGGAGCCGCCCGGGTGCCCCCCCCCCCCTCGCGTATCCGGGTGTGACCCCCCATCGGGGGGAAAGGATTAAACGGGAATTCGCGTCCCTTCGAGTAAGCTACGGCGTTGCTCAGATTGGCTTCCCCCCCGTGTCCGGGGGGCAGCAGAATGGCTTCCCCCCTGGGTCGCGGCCGCTCCCCTCGCCCGGGGAGAGTCGACCACTCCCCCTCTTGGAGCCGACGTGGCGGTGTCGTGGGCAGCTCCCCTCCCCCGCGGGGAGCCGACCACCCCTCGTGGAGCCGATGCGACGATCTCGTGGGCGACGACGACCCACGCAAGATGACGAGACCAGGATACGTCTTCCACACGCCGACAGGGTCGGCGGATTTGGTCGTGTATCGACAGATTGCAGTTTTCCCAGACAAAAAATGAACAACTTTATTTTGGAAGCTGCGCGCATGTGTGTGTGTATATAGAGGTGTGCAGTCACACGTTTTTGTTTGTCCATCATCAAGAAATCATGTGTCCACACATTCTTGTGTACTGCAAGATGAACGGTGTGATCGATAGTTCAGTAGGCAGGTCGGTAGTTCGTCAGCGTGTTAGACCGCTGGCCTTGGAATTAGTTACAGGTTGAACTCGACATGCCGCGGTTTAGAGTGATCGACAGATGGGTTGCAAGCATTCGCATCGTAAAGCACACTTTTTTTGATCCGCGGGTCGAGAGCGCACCTCTGCATCGTAAGGCACACATGTAGCTCGACTGTTAACTAGACGTAGATCGTTATGGTGTTGTACCACCAGAGTGTCGAAAATGTATGCAAGGATCTGGCCGAGTCTGGCAAGATGGAGGGGGTGTGGCGGGCTGGCCCGGGTCGTGTGACCACTGGCCGCCGCGCAGCGCACCGAAACCGAAGGGGGTGCGTGCCAGCAGGGCGCGGAACTGCGGGCATTTATTCTGAGCTCACTGGCCCAGGTGGCGCGCTCCTCAAAGGGCCTCTTTGTCGGCGGAAGGCGGCGGAAGGCCGGCGGTAGGTGGCGGAAGCAGAACGAGGCTGCGTTCTGCTGCGGAAGCCAGCGGAATCTCGGCGGAACGCGGCGGAAATAATAGATGCGCCCTCAAGGGATGCCAACATTTTTTGGTCCAGGGTTTCCAGACTTGGCCATGTACTTATAACGTTGACGCGGGCGCATACTTTGTTTGTGCACAGGTACATGTCCAGTCAATCTGGTACCATCAGGAATGCTAAGTAAGGAGCGAGCTTCTCTGTGGACCCCAGCAGGTCCCAGGTGCACGAGGAGCGCCAAAGGAACTTCCGTGGAAGGACCTGGGGACCAGCGAACCCCGATCAATCCCGACCTGTTCTTTATCCGAGTGTCGTGAGGATTTGGTGATCGACGGAGCGCTTGACATGGCACCTATGTGTAGTTACATCTTTATTAATACACATCTGGAAACAAACACTGCCAATGCCCTCCTTCACGCTCCACGGAGGGTAGCGTGTTCTGGTATGTAATCGCACCTGCACCTGCCATTTTCTTGTTAGAGGCAGTTGGCTTTCGGCGCTGATCAGAAGGTCTTGTGGAAACAGCGTGGTCACGGTGGGCGCACGGACGAAAGGCCACACGTCTATACAGGCCTGTGTCCATTACCATGCTCGAAGTTCGCTTCCTGTTTCTCGGCTGCGTGCAGCCAGTAGCGCGCGATCCTTGGGTCGGACAGCAGAATGAATGGCCGATCTGAAGCAATCTTCTGCACTTTGCCGTAGATCATCCCCTCCTGCTTCATGGTCTATGTCCTCTGCCGCTGCGTGAAGGAAGCCTTCCGCTGCAATGAGTTGTTAGGCGACAGCGTGCGAAGACGCTTCTCGCGCGAGTTAGCAATATTCAGGGGGGGGGAGGGATGTCGAGCATGTGCATGGTGGAGGAACAACACTACATAGAAGGAGCCGTGGTAGATGGCTTCGAGAGTCTCCAAGAATGTTGCTGTTTCTGTTTTTGATGGGGGTCCGTTCGGCTACGCACATGCACTGCCTGCAGCTGACCGAATCGCACGCCAGGCTCGTGTGCGGCATCTTCCACTAGGCCTGCGGCCTGGGAGGGCGGGGTGCGGGATAATGGGAGGCAATCGAGTAGTGGCCTTCCCTCTTTGCACCATGCTGATGGCGTTTGCCATGTGCAACGATATCTTGAGTTGTCCTGGCGCGACGCTCGACAAAGGATGCGACGCGCGAGATCAGCATGGTGATTGCCTTCAAGGAGTTTAGAGATTTGCCATGCCTGGCGGGCTTTCACCAACAGGGGACACATGGGAGCCAATTTGGATGCAGGGGTCAGCAAGGAAATGCGTGGAGCGGAGTGCGAAGCACCAAGATAGTTACTCGATTTCGTTGGGGTTTCGTGCAAATGGATCTGGTGTCGGGCAACTAGATCTCGAAACCTAGGCTGAAGAGTTCGTGGCCAGTGGCGACCTTTGGCGTGGGCCAGGAGATGGCATGGTAGTCAAAAGGACCCCAGAGTTCTCCGAGCATTGACCGCCTTGACTGCCATGCTGACTGTCGGAATCGCTCCAGGGTGCCCTCGGGGGCCCAGCGCCTCAAATGCAGGAGTGTGCCAGCAAGGCCGCAGGCCCTGCGTGGATCCCCGCCCGCCCTCTTGCGCTCCCTCGTCATCTCCCCGGCCTCGTCGGGACTCGCCCCGCCCTCCCTCAGGTCGGCTGTGCGCAAGAGCGCCCCCCTTGCCGGAGTGACGTTCGGTGCGGGCCTTCAGGGATCTCTCTGAGTACTGGCCTGCGAGCTCAGACTTGGTGCCCCCCCCCTCCCCCTCTCTCGCCCCAGAGAGGCATCCAAGAGGCCTCTGTCCTTTCTGTTTGCCCTCCTCCTGTTCCTCCCCCTCCTGCTACTCCCTTATCCCTGCTCGCCTTTACCCTCCTCCTCCTCCTTCCTCCTTCTCCTCCTCCATCCTTTGTCCTTATAGCTAATTCCTTCCTGTCGCACCCGCGAGACGTGTCGGTGTGGCGGGCCGGGCGTTTCGCGTCAGACGTCCTCACCATTTCTGATGCTTAAGCTTGAAATTTGCAATAATTTTACTGATGCAGGGCGGGTGGTTTTCAACATGTGGCTCTCGTCCTAGCGTCGCGCACATTCGTCTCAAAAGTTTGCAAGAGTTTCACGAGTGGAGGGCGGGTGGTTTTCCAAATTGTGGCTCTCGCCTTAGCGCCGCGCGCATTAGTTTTACAAGGCTGCCAGAGCCTCATGGACGGAGGGTGTTACCTTTTCAAAATGTGGGTCTCGCTGTAGCGCCGCGCATATTCGTTTGCATAATTTGCAAGAGTTTCGCAAGTTTACGGCGGGTGGTTTTCAACATTTGGCTTTCGCCTGAGCGCTGCGCACATTCGTTTTAAGAGCTTACTGCCGTTTTAAGGGTTCTTATTGTTGATGTACCAGAGGTGGTGCTTTGCCGCACTGTAGGATTGTCAGGGCGCAATTGTTACGTTGATTCAGGGTGTTAAAGTCACAGGAATAGTGTTCTGGCAAGATTCAGGATCACCAGGGCGCCACAGTAACGTCGATTTGCGGCGTTGAAGTCCCAAGAACGGTGGTCTGGCCCGGTTCAGGATTTCCCGACCAATGTCTTCTAACGGGGCCCTTCCTTCAATGAACATGAGTCCTTGTAGGGACCTCGGAAACAGGGATCTTGGAAGGAGGATTTATTGCACCATCGTTGATGGATCTCGGGTTTACACTGATCCTTCTCCACCTCCTCTTCTTATCTCCCTCTCCCTCCTTCCCCCTCCTCCTCCTCCTCCTCCTCCTCCTCTTCCTCCTCCTTCTCCTCCTCCTCCTCCTCCATCCTCCGCCCCCTGAGGCCCCCCTGCGGCTGCGCACCACAGGCCGCCCCTGCACCGGTTAACGCTGTCCGCGTGTGCGGCCGGGCCTGGGCCCGACCGGGCTTTGCTTCGGCTCGAGCCGACTTTGTTTTCGGACGTCCAGCGGCGCCCGGTGGGCTGCTCCCTCCTGTGGCGCGGGGCGCGCCCGCGCGCCGCCCCCCGCTCCCAGCAGGGGCGGGGCCGATGCCTCCCAAGGCAAGGGGTGGAGGCAAGGGGTCCGCGGAGCCCGAGGGGCAGCAGGGCGACGGCGAGGATGGCAAGGACAGGCCTTGTCCTGCGCTTGGTCGTCGTCGTCGTCGTCGTCGTCGTCGTCGTCGTCGTCGTCGTCGTCGTCGTCGTCGTCGCTGCTTCGTCGTCATCGTTCTCGTCGTCGTCGTCGTCGTCGTCGTCGTCGTCGTCGTCGTCGTCATCGTTCTCGTCGTCGTCGTCGTCGTTGTCGTCGTCGCTGCTTCGTCGTCGTCGCTGCTTCGTCGTCGTCGCTGCTTCGTCGTCGTCGTCGTCGTCGTCGTCGTTGTCTCGGGACGGGGCGGCGTCGAAGCTGTGGTTTCCAAGCGTTCTCTCAGGGTTTCTGAGGTCTTCGTCTTTCAACACATGCCTTGTCTCCCACACGTCCGCGCACACGCCGCGGGCCAGTGTGCGGATCTCATGGCCGGGGCCATGACGTCTCCAAGATTTTATGGCCCCCTCTTCTTCGCTCCACATGCCCCGTCTCCCACTACCCCGCAGGGACCGCCCACTTTTCTCAAGCTTCTTTCTTCCCCCCCTCTCTCTGTGACCACATTTTGGGCCCGCGGGGTGTGGGAGCCCTTCAGGCTCTGGGGAGCTCTTTCGACTTCAAGATTATTTAGGCTGTAGGACTCAGGAGGGCGCCCCAAGAGGCCGCCAAGGCGGCTCTGAGTGGTCCAGACCGCTCCGAGATAATTCGAGGACGGCCTGGAAGACCACAAGGTTTTTCGAGAGACGCTTCCAGAGTCCCCACGACGGGCCCCATGCATCCCAAACCTGCAAGGCAACTTGTGATTTCCAAGGTTTTTTTTGCTCTCAGGCTTTTATCCTTCACATCATTTTGGGACCGCTTCAGAGACCCCCAACATAGCTCCACAGCGCCCGAAGAAAGCCCGAAGACGGCCCCACAGCGCCCAAGTAGGACCCCAAGACGGCCCAAGAGAGGCTCCAGAAGTGCTCCAGGGGACCCAAAGATAGTTCAAGGGAGTGCCGAGACTGTCCCAGAGGCCCCTCACAGAGCCACAAGACGCCTCAAGACGGCCCAAGAGGTTTCGAGAACCACCCAGCAGGCCCCTCCAAATTCCCGTGACCCCTCCAAGAGCCCCCCTAGAGCCCTCCACAGAGCCCCCAAACGCCATTTAGGGAGCCCGACGGCAGCCCTCTGACATTGAAAGAAGAGGTTCCAGAGAACCCTGCATCCCAAGCCAGCCCACTTCAATTTCAATGTCCACCCATTTCCCGAACATTTCGAAGGCCTGCCCTGACGACACCCCTGTACCAGAGTGTAGCCCCCGATGGTCTGCATCACTTTCCTCATGGCCATCATTCCTCCGGCCTGAAAAGGAGCATGCATCCTTGGGAACTGGATGCGCTGCTGTTCGTGCTTCTCCCTGTCCTTCTCCTCCTCCTCCTCCTCCTCCTCCTCCTCCGCCTCGTCCCCGCTTCGCTCTGCCCTCTCAGCGGAAGCGCGTGCACAGTACGAGGACGGGATGGGGATGCAGAGCGGGGAAGAGAACGGAGGATACGACACAGGAGTGGTGTGCGGGTGCGGAGGGGGAGACGGAGGAAGATGAGGGGTTCTCCCTCTGTTCTCTTCCCCTAGCTCCCCCACCAACCCGCCAACCCGCTAGCACTCCCGTGGAACTCAGATGTCCCCTGAATGTTGAAACTCCCACATCTTTTCTGACTCCTCTGCTCTCCCGCCTCCTCCTCCTCCTCCTCGTCGGTCTCCTCTTCTTCCTCGTCCTCCTCCTACTCCTCCCTCTTCCAAGGCCCTTGCACATCGAGCAAAAAGCCAACTGGGGCGGTGTTACGCGTTTCGAAGACTGCCCAGTGGCCCCTGCTTCAGGCATGAGCCCGGTATTTAGGGTGCTCCAGATACGATTTCGTTGTCGACGCCCTGAAGAGTGGAGCTCTTTTCCTCTGTGGAGGCCGGCCGAGGGCGCACGAAAGTTGGCGGAAGAAAAGCGAGGGCGGCCTGGGCTGAAGCCAGCACAAACAAGTTGGTTTCCCAAGAGAGGTCAACGTTGGTGGCCAGGGTGCCCCAACATCTTCCAGACTCGGTCACGTACTTATGCATCTACACATACTGTATATAGGTGCGTGTATACTTTTACACATATGAGCATGTCACATGTCCTTTGTACATTTATACCAATAGCACGGTGCAATACTAACATGTACGTATGTATGTATGTGTATGTATGTATGTATGCATGTATGCATGCATGCATGCCTGCATGCATGCAAGCAAGCATGTATGTATGCATGCATGTATGTACGTATGTATGTATGTCTGTCTGTCTGTCTGTCTGTCTGTATGTATGTATGTATGTATGTATGTATGTATGTATGTGTGTGTGTATGTATGTATGTATGTATGTATGTATGTATGTATGTATGCATGCATGCATGCATGTATGTATGCATGCATGCATGCATGCATGCATGCATGCATGTATGTATGCATGTATGTATGTATGTATGTAGGTATGTATGTGTGCATGTATGTATGTATGTATGTATGTATGTATGTATGCATGCATGCATGCATGCATGCATGCATGCATGTATGTATGTATGTATGTATGTATGTATGTATGTATGTATGTATGTATGCATGCATGTATGTATGTATGTATGTATGTATGTATGCATATATGTATGTATGTATGTATGTATGGTTGCATGCATGCATGCATGTATGTATGTATGCATGCATGTATGTATGTGTGTATGTATGTATGCATATATGTATGTATATGTATATATATGTATGTATCCACGGTGCAAGCCCGACAGCCTGACCTCGGATGTTGTGATGGCTTCGGTTCACAGGTCCCCTGAGCTCTCCACTCCTTCCCCAGATCAAATTCCCTGTCCCTTCTGAAGCAGCAAATACAATCGTACATCATGCTACGCTCACCTTCGAGTTTGCACCGATATCCTCGCATGGTGATCGCGATGGGATTTGATCATTGCCCGTCAATTGTTGAGACGCAGCTCCGGTCGGCGCTACCAGCTACAATCTGCGCCGCGCGCGCGAAGTGTGAGCACGGTTCTAATGGAGATGTGTTGGGAGAGGGCGATCGGTCAGTTGACTTAGGATCTAGATCAGACCTTGGATCAGCCTAGAGGCGGGTGTCGTTCTGAGGATAAGAAAGGCGAGGAGGAAGAAGAGGAGGAGCTCTTCATCGGAGACTCTGTGCGGATATCATCGAGCATGCAGGAGGTCAAGAAAGCTCTGGAGAAGCTCAGCATGCAATGGGACTCCAGCATGATAAGCTTTCTGGGCAAACTGGCCGTCGTGCGTGGCGTGAAATTTCAGAACGACTCCGAGAACGTTCCGCGGCAGCTCTGCGCACTCGCCGTAAAGGAAGGCCCAGAGACAGAGCTGCCAGCCGCATGCTTGGTGATAGTAGAAGACGAGGACAGCGACAAGGAGAGCGTCGACAAGGGCAGCGAGGACGAGGAAGAAGAGGAGGACGAGGACAGGGTTGCGGTGCCGATTCAGGTCAACATGCGCGTGGAGGACACCAAGCGCAAGAAAAAGAAAAAGGTTCACGTTGGAATCGTAACCAACTTGTTCGACGACGAGGGGAACGGGGAGGAGGCCAACGTCAAATACGAGGACGGTCGCACCAAGAAGGTCTCTCTTGATCGCCTTCGGCCTCTAGAGAAGGTGACCAAGGATGCGACGGGCTTCTCAGGCGACACTCGCTTTAACGACTTCAGGTTCACCAAGAATTGCATCCCGACAGGGATAGAGGTGGTCGGGGATGGGGCTGAGTTTCTGAAGAGCCGCGGGGGTCAGACACATCTGAATCTCAAGAAAAACACTTATCTGAAGGTGGCACTGAAAGGCCTGCGTCACGAGAAGCTCAAGCCAAACGAGGAGATTCCGCGCTACACGCTGACGGTCGAGTTCCGGATTAATGATAGCCACCGGAGACTCACCGACGCGCTCTCAGCACGCCTGGATCCGTCGATGATGGCTCGATCAAATGGATAGTGCAGTTGCCGCTCGATCGGGATCGCAGCGATCGATCGGGCTCTCTACCACGTGAGTGCTCCCTGCTCTGGGGTGGACCTGGCCAGCCGGATCAGGATCAGGATCAGGCCATGGACCAGCCAGGCTTGGGATGGTGCGGCAGGCTCGCGCCGCGTCGACGCGGCGGCGGCCCCTGCACGGGCGTTCCAGGTTGAACGCCGACGGTGGCCCTGGAACCGGCCGGCATCGAGCGATCTTTGCCACCGGAGATCATGAAAGGTCCATGCGCCAACGCCGACGTCATCGCGACGTGAATTTGCCGTGCATCCATCGATAATCTTCAGGACGTGTGTTAGTCTAGCTTGTGTTTACCCCGTCTAGCTCCACCGATGGTGCGCAGCCTGTGTCGGCCCTCGTTCCATTGCCCGCGTCGCATCGAAAGGCTTCGCGGACAAGCACACGCTGGCATTAACACACGGACTGATGGTCATCGATTCTGAGGAGGTGCCGTGGTCCCTCTTCCAGGCCAGCTTTCCCGACCCCCACGCCACGGACGAGCTCACCGTGCAGTCCGAGGACAGGCCTTACCGCCGGAAGTGGAAGGTTTTCTTGGGAAATCACCAAAAGGCGTAGCAGGGCAGATGCAATCTTGCACGGAGGCCTGGAACGTTCTGCTATGTTTGCAAGACGGCGACAGTGCAGCCAGGGCTGGCTCGTTCGTTCTGTCCAGCCCTGATCGTTATCGACGACGCCTACGGCGAACCACTTCCGCCCCCTGCCTTTTGGAATCGTCCATGTGGTCGAGCGTTGTGGCAAGAGCTCTGCCAATCTATCGGACCATGTTTTCCCCCAACCGTTGTGGAAACCCTTCGGGGAACACTTGGGGGAGGATGGCAGGGAAGATCAGGAGGAGGATGACGAGGAAGAGGAGGAGGAGGAGGAGGGGAGGAGAAGGAGGAGGAGGGGACATCTTGGGAGCATCTAGGGGCACACTTGGGGCCTCCTGGGAGCTTCCTGGGAGCCTCTTGGAGGCATCTTGGGGGCCTCCTTGTGCCTCTTGGGGGGCCTTTGGGGGCTTCTCGGGGGCTTCTTTTGCCGTCTTAGGGCATTCCTGGCCCTTCTGATGCCGTCGGAAGCCGTCTTGGGAGCCTCTCTGGGCCGACTTGGGGCCCTGTTGGGGTGCTCCAGGGCGGTATTGGAGGTCATCTTGGGCGTCTTGGAGACCTCTTGGGCCGTCTTGGGGCCTTTTTGGGGCCGTCTTGGGGGCATCTTGGGCCGTCATGAGGCCATCTTGGAGGCCTCCTGGGCGACCTTGGGGTGACCTTGGGTGTCTCTTGGGCCGTCTTGAGCCGTCTGAAGGCCGAAAAGGCGCAAATGCCAAACTCCTGTGTGGGAAATCACTGATTTTGGCCTCTTCGGGTCTTCTGGAGGACCTCTTGGAGGCCTCTTGGGCCGTCTTGGAGGCCTCTTGATCTTAGCAGTCTTGGAGGTCATCCTGGCCGTCTGGGAGGCATCTTGGAGGCCAGCTTGGGCCAACGTGGTCATCTTGAAGGCCATCTTGCACCGTCCCGGAAGACTTTTTGCGGACGTTGTGCTCGCTTGCGGTCCTTTCGGGTGGCTGGCGGGACGGGCCGAGTCCCCTGGGAAGAGTTCTTTTGGAAAAAGCCAAAACCAAATCGTAAGAAGTCCAGCACGTCAGGCACCCCTCTGATAAATCAACGAGGGCGGCGGATGACGGAAAGCGCGCGAGGCGTCGCGATCCGTTCGCCAGGAGAAATAATAAGGGGGGGTGGGGGGGTAGGCAGCAGCACCCCCAGACGACGGACAGCGCGCGTAGAGTCGCGACCCCTTAGGCGGGAGAGATGGCCAGGGGGGTGTGGGGGGGGTAGGCAGCCTTACCGCCACATGACGGAAAGCGCGCTTGCGTCGCGATCCGTTAGTCGGGAGAGATAGCAAGGGGGGGTGCGGGGGGTAGGCAAGGAGGGGCGCGGATGACGGAAAGCGCGCGTAGCGTCGCGATCCGTCAATCGGGAGAAATAACAACGGGGGTTGTGGGGGGTAGGCAGCCTGGGCCTCAGATCTAATACTTCCAAGTTTCGGGAATTTTCGGCCCAAGACGGCCCAAGTCAGCCCCAATAGCGCCTCAGAGGCCCCAAGACGGCCCAAGACAGCCCCACAAGCCCCCAAGATACCTCCAAGACGGCGTCGGAGAGGTCCAAGAAGACCTGAAGACGGCTCAAGAGCGCTCCAAGAGGGCCCAATATGGCTTCAAGGCAGCCCACGAGGCCCCCAAGACGTCCCAAGACGCCCCAAGAGGCCCAAATGGGCGTCAAGACGGCCCAAGAGAGCCCCAAGACGGCCCAAGACAAGCCCCTGATGGCCCCAAAAGGTTCCCAATACAGCCCCAAGAGGGCTACAGGAGATCCCTTAGGGGACCCATCAGGGCCCCCAGAGGGCCCCAATACGGCCCAAGCCCGCCAAGACTGCCCAAGAGGATCCCGGGACGGCCCAAAAGGGCCCCAGAAGGACCCCAGGAAGGCCCAGAAATGCAACATTCATTGATTTTCGCAAGGTTGGTTGCTAGATTCTTGTATGTCGTACCGAAGCCTGAACATTGACAGGGTTCCAAGATACTAAACCAGCGACCTCGTGCCCTCACAAAATAAACGCGCTTACCGTCCCTATGCCAAGCAGGTGACGGAAAGAGCGAGGTACGAGCGAAAGAAGTTGAGTTGGGGCGAAGCCTTCTAGAGAGGGGTCCAGGGGAGGGGAGAGGGGGGCGGGTATGGGTGACGGAAAGAGCGAGGTACGAGCGAGTGACGTTGCGCCCCAAGAGGCCCCCATTAGAGCCCCAAGACTGCCAAAGGCATCCAAGACGCCCCAAGAGGTCCCAAAAGGGCTCCAAGATGGCCCAACATTGCCCCAAAAAGGTTCCCGAAGGGCTCCAAAAGGGCCCCAAGAAGACCCCGACGAGGCCCAAGAGACGCTCAAGAACACCATGGCTCCCATCAGCGAGCGGTGACGTAACGAGCTCTTGACACCAAGGGTCCCCAGAGCGCGGTGACGTAAAAAGCTCCTTACACCAAGGCTCCCAAGAGCGAGCGGCAACGTGAAAGTCTCTGAACACCAGGGCTCCCAACGGAGAGCGGCGACGTAACAAGCTCTTCGCACCAGGGAGCCATGAGCCATCTCGGGCAAGTTCCTGAGGCGCTCTTTCCGTTTCCGTGCCGGCCCAGGTGACGGAAAGAGCGAGGTACGAGCGAGAGACGTTTCGTGGGGGGCGAAGCCCTTGTAGGGACGGGGTCGAGGGGAGGGGGCAAACCCGAAGACATTGGATGACGGAAAGAGCGAGGTACGAGCGAGAGACGTTGTGGTTGGGCGGTTGCGCCTCCCTAGGGGGAGTGCAGAGGGGGACTGTGCAGGTGACGGAAAGCAGAGCGAGAGACGTTTCGTCGGGGACGGAGCCCTTTTCGGGGCCCAAGCCCGCCAAGACGGCCCAACAGGATCCCGGGACGGCCCAAAAGGGCCCCAAGACGGGCCAAACGAGCCGACGCGGGAACTCCGCGCGGCGCTCTGCCCATCGCCTCGCTCGCCCGTCGTCGCTCTGCTCAGCGGCCAGATCCCTGCCTGCCATCAGCCAGCCAGCTAGCTCTCTTTGCTCCGCGCCGCGGACGACCCACGCGCGTCGCTGGGACCCCTTCGGGGCGACCATCGCGGGGATTCCGCGCTGCGCTGCGCTTGCAGCCTTGGGCCTTGGAGTGCCGGGGCAAAGAGGGTGACAACAAGGGAAGGAAGTGGGCGCGATCCTCGTGAGGGGCGTGCCGACGTGGGCGTGGCGGGTTGCGGGCGCTGCCGTCGGTTTCCGGGGGGGCTCCCTGTGGCAGTCACGCTCAAATGCGTACCCAAACCGTTCACATTCATACGCGTTTACAGCAGGTATAGCCATGCTCGCATTCATGCAAATCTATTCACTCGCTCGCAGACTCATTCGCAATCAGATCCACTCGCGCTCAGACTCACCCGCGCTCGGTCTCTCGTACTCAGACCTATCGTCTTCGTTCGTGTTGTGTACCCCGCCACAGATTTCGGCACGCCCCTCATGCGGTTCGTGGCCCCAGGGGGAGCGCAACTGAAAACAGTTTTCACAACTGCGATACGCACAACTTCATATGGTTGGGTCCTTCGCCAGACTAATTCGAGTGAGGCGGCTCCGGGGCGGCTGCCATTGTTTGTTTCCTCGTAATTCTTCGAGTGGAATGGCCAGAGGGCCCCAAGGCGGCCCAAGAGGGCACCGAAACGGCCCACAGACAGCCCCAACACGGCCCCACGAAAACTTCAGACGGCCTCCAGACGGTCCAAGAGAGCCCCGAGACGCCTTCAAAAGGCCTTCAAGAGGGCCCCCGAAAGGGCCTGAGGAGGCCAAGCGCATTGATTTCTTTGCGATTTTTGCAGTTTTTTCGGGTTCTCCCCTTTTCGGGCCCCAGCAGACTTCGAAAGTTGCGATAATTGCGACAGTTTCGCAAATCACAGCCCCCCAGGGATAGTGAGGTCCAATCGGAGTCCGCGTAGGACACCACTCCGCTGGGCCCCCCAGCAGCCCTCGAAAGTTGCGACGATTTGGCAGTTTCGCAGTTCGCAGCCCCGCAGCGATGGCGAGGTCACGTACGACGGCGAGCTAGGAGGCAGACTGGTAGGCAGGACAGGAGAGGCAGGCTTTCAGGCTGGAGCGGGAGGAAGGAAACGCGCGCGCACTGCTTTATTCAAAAGGAGAGCGCAACGCAAGAGTGTTGGGAAAAAGAAATGAAAGGGGGTTGCTCCGAAGTCCCCCCCTCAGCTGGGCCCCTCCCCCCATCTAGAAATGCAGACAAACTGGGAGGAGGGGGGGAGCTTCGGAAGCCCCTTTCGAAAAGGAACCCGGGCTTACCCCGGGCTCGGAAAAAGGGGGGACGGGGGGGTAGCTTCCAAGCCTCCCCCCTTCTTTATCCAGGGAGCTCCCAGTTTCAAAACGCTGACAAGAGGGGGGACGGGGGGGGGGAGCTTCGGACCCCCCTTTGGAAAAGGGGAGCCCAGGGTTACCCCGAACACCGAAAAGCAGGGCCCCTCCAGCTACTAAATGCCGACAGGAGGGGGAGACGGGGGGGGTAGCGATGTAAGCCTTCCAAAGGATGGGAAGGGAGCCTGAAGCTGGGGCCCCCGTCTCGTATTCCTGGCGCCAGCGCTGCGTGCGCACTCTTACAATGCTATCCAGGCCCCTCCAGGGCCCAGGATCGGCTTTGTAGACCTGACCTGTCTGGCCTACGGCGTCTGCGTGCGATTCTTGTGCCCAGGGCCGGGCCGCGTTAGCATTGGTGTCAGTGTTCATATGAAACGGTCAAGGTGCTCACAAAAGAGAACAAGTGCGTCATCACCGCGGAGTCTGACCCCGCCTCCCGCGAGCTGGGCAAGCTCGTCGAAGGGTCCGTGGTCACAGAGGACGGCCTGGCCCCACGGCGTTTGCCCAGTGGTGAGAAGCGCCTCCGTGTCCGGTATAAGGCCGCGGACATCGTGCAGGAGGAGGAGAAGCAGGGCCTGGAGGCAGAAGAATACATCGTGGAGCTCGAGGCTGGCTATTTCGGCAACGACCACGGCCATGCGCCGACCTCGGTGATGATCTGCTCCAACAAGGTGGTCAGAACAATCGGCTTCTGCCCCGGCAGTGCCGGTGGCAAGGCAACTGTCAATAATGCCCCAGGAATCGACATGGGTTGGACCCCGCGCGACCGCACCATGCACACCATGAAGGTTACAATGCGCAAGAGTGGCTGGCATACGTTCCAGATTTCCGACGGAGACAATCCGCAGAAAACTTGGTCCAAGGATTTCAAGGTGCTTGGCTGGCTCGAAGAGAAGGCATTCGTTCAGATTATGGACCCTGATGACGAGGATATCAAGATCGGCGAGGAGCACCAATACCACAACAGCGGCTTGCACAAGATCAGGCTCTTCCGCAAGGGTAACCTCACTAAGGTCAGCGACAAAAATGATCCGAGGGGCTGGGTTACCCTCAAGAAGACAGACTTCTCGCCCGTGGAGGACGCCGCCGAGTCCAAGCACTCTCGTGGCCCTCAATGCTTCCTCAAGGCTGGTGCGCCCGAGCACACACAGAAGAGCCATCGGCCCCTGCACTCTGAACGGTGGCACACCGTGACGCTCACTGCTGACACCACGGATGGGCACGCCCAGCTCTACCTGGACGGAGTGTCCTGCATGGAGGAGGACGTCGACATCGGTCTCGGGGATCCCGACATGATGCAGATCGGCGACATCTTCGGACCCGTGATGGGGCCCGTGCAGGGTCCCGACAAGCTCGACAAGGGCACCGGCGGCGAGGGCTTCAGTCGCGAGCCGCAGAAGTCTTCCTACGGCGTGCCGCAGGGTGGATTCCTGCTCTTCGCGAGCACCACTGCTCGTGGTATGCCGGGCGGCGTGCTGCTCCGAAGGCTCACTTTCCACAACCAGATCTTGCCCGTCGCCAAGGTGGAGGAGGCTTATCTGAATTCACGCTACCAGCGGCCTCCCAAGCCAGTGCCGACAGTCTTGACCCTCACGCCGCTGATTAAGAAAGGCGCTCCACCGCTGTGGCAGCATGGCTCATTCTTATGCGAGTTTATGGATTGCTTCATGCACGGGGTCAGTGGTCAGCTGACTCACTTCTTGAAGGTGTTCTGCATCTGCGCTGAGGGAGCCGCCCAGTCCCTGAAGGAGTCCTCGAGCGCGCTGTCCTGGACCGAGGACGAAGGCACCGCCCTGGGAGGGGTGATCGACTTGTTCAAGCGGTCCGAGCCATTGTTCCGGAAGTGGCAGCCGCTCTGGTCCGCGGGCACTGAGGACATGCATACCATTCCACCGCTGGCCGCCTCCTACATCAAGAGGCTACAGACCGCCCGCCAGAGGGTCGCCGCCGAGGGTGGTTCCCTGCTGATCCCCCTGGGCGTCAAGTCCATCGACGACACCCAGACTCCCCTGTCACAGTTTGCGGTGCTCCTGCTGGAGAAGCCGCGTCCCGATGCCTACCGCATCACGGTCATCAACTCTGGCTCACCAGGCATTGAGCACCACGCCTGCTCCTCAGCGCATCCGCCCAAGCTGAAGTATCAGGCGGCTTTATCCTTCGACAACATTTCGCCCACTCGCGCCGAGGACGACGGCCTCTGGGCCGCGCTGGTGCTCTCAACGGCCACGCCGGAGATGTCTGCCTGGTGGAAGCAGCCGCCTATGCTGTACGACAAGTTCTTGCCTTGGCTCATCGGCTATCCGCTGGAGCACTACCTGTCCTCAAGCGTCTATGGCGATGGCACTGGGCGCCTGAGCCAACCTTCCGAGGCTGCGCATGAGCTGCGCTCGCCGCAGTATGGCGGCACGGGCGAGTGGCGCGCGCTGACGTTCGCGCTGCGCTTCCTGCTGCGGGACCGCGGCCTCAGCTTGGCAAAGGCGATCGGGCATAGCAGCGTATGGATTGTGTCTTTCTTGGCCCCCATCGCCTCCCTCTTCTCCTCATCCCCCTTTTGCGGCAACGTCGCTGGCCGCCCTCCTGCAGCGGCCAGGAGAGTCGGCAATGCGCAGTTTCCAGTGTTCAGGGGAGTTGTGGGGCTGGGGGGGTGCTGAGGGTGGGTGTACGGTTTATAGCACGTGACTGGCCCGTGGACATGCAAGAGGCCCTCGGGTATGACATCTGCCTTGCACTATATGTGTTTATGGGGTTTTGGTGTAGTCTGGGCTGAAAAGCTGCCATTCCCAAACTTCTTTCCCATAGGTTTTTCATCGAGGCCCGATGTAAGGAACACCACGTAATTCCTCCTGGGGGTCTGCAGCGCGCGTCTGAGCGGTCCGTCCCTGGCCCCCTGGATCCATATTCCGCGTGTGCCCGCTCAAGAACAGATGGCTCGAGGATGGTGCGTCCCAGGCATGGACCGTGGTGCTTTTCAGGAACGTCCCAGCTCCAGACCAGGACGCGTCCCAGGATCGTTCCAGGCGCATCCCGTGCGTGCCCTCCCGAGGATTGTCCAGTGTTTTCCAGGTCTACACAAGGGCGCGCTCCATGACACGGACCTAGACAGACCCCCAGATATGCCCCTAGACATGCCCCCTGACACGGCCCGAGGCGTGTCCTTTAACACGTTGCTTGACAAGTCCCCTGGCACGGCCACAGGCACGTCCCCTGACACGCCCCGAGACGCCTCAAGGCACGTCTCCAGACGCGGCCCCAGACGTCGTTCCAGGCGTGTCGCCGGGTGCGTCCCCAGACGCGTTCCCTGGGCACGTCCGCTGACACGTCCCGAGACACGCCTTCAGACACGTCCGCAGATACGCCCCCAGACACGTCCCTAAGCACATCCCATGCCGCTCCAGGACATGTCTCCTAACGCGTCCGCAAGCACGCGTCCTAAGACGTCCCCAGGCACGTCCGCAGACACGGCCTGGCGCATCCCTAAGCAAGTCCTCGTATGCGGCCCCAGACACATGTCCAGCCACATCCCGAGACACACCCATCACGCAGCCACGCCCCCAGACGCGCCCCCTAACACTGACTCAGGCGCGTCCCCACAAACGCCCCGAGGTACGCCCCTAGACAAGTCAATGGACACGGGTAAGCCCCCAGGCACATCGTCAGACATGTCTCAGGCGCGTCCCCAGGCGCGTCCCCGGGCGCGCCCCCAGCCACGTCCCCAATGACGCCCCCTGGCACGTCCCCAGACGCGCCCCCCTGACACGTCCCTTGACACGTCCCCAGGCACGCTATCAGAGATGGCCCTAGGCGCACCCTCTGACATGCCCCCAGGCAGGTCACCAGACACGCCCACGCACTCGCCCCACAGGCAGCACGCTCCTCATGGACACCGAAACTGCCAGTAGAACGCTTATCCGGGATAGTCGGCATGACTCTGTGTTCCGTGCAGCCGTCTGGGACGGTCTTGAGCTGTCTTGGAGGTGCCTTTGGCCTTCCGAGGGCTTCTTGGGAACTCCTTGGTGGCCGTGTCGGAGGCCTATATAGGGACATGCTGGGATCCTATTTAGGTTTTGGGTCTATCTTGACGGTTCTCTGGGCCGTCTGGGGGTGTCTTGCGGTCATAGTCGAGCTGTTTGGCGCAGCTCGGTGCACGTCAGTGCCCTCAGCGGATGATTCGATACTTTTGGAATGCACGCGTGTTGTTCGGACAGTGGGGTAGGTCACACGAGCCACTTGCATCCAGGTCTAGCCTGACCCAGGGGACCGCAGCTCCAGACTTCAGATCTCAATGGAATGGCTACCACGAGATATGAAGGACAGCAGGGCGGTCTTGTGCTGCCGTGGAGCCATCTGGGGGACGGGTGTGTGTGTGTGTGGGCCCTCTCAGGGGTCTCCTGGGGTGGTCGCTGCCCTTTCTCCATCGCGGTGCTGTCTTGATGCGTCCTCGGGCTGTCTTTTGGGCCGGTCCTGTGGTCCGCGCCACGGGCGACCCGGGGCTGTCCTATGGCCTTGTGGATGCTATCCTGGATGACGGGTGATCAGGCAAAAACCAGACACACTTTCGTCGTGGTTCCCACTCCTTCAGTGCGTTGGGTCCTCGTTTTGATCACGCAGCGGCGCCGCGCTCCGTCTCAGCTTCCTTCCTTTCTTCCTTCCTTCCTCCCTCCCTCCTCCTCCTCCTCCTCCTCCTCCTCCTCCTCGTCCTCCTCCCCTCTCCCTCCCGCTCCTCCTCCGCCTCCCCGCCCCTGCTCTCCGCCAACCGCACACCCCTCACGCGTTTCGTGGCCCCATCGGGAGCTCCACTTACTGTCCCAGCGGGCGCGCCCGCATGCTGGCCCACGCCCATGACGGCTCACCCCTCACACGCAGATCGTGGCCCCATGGGGAGCTCCGCTTAAGGTGTCAGTGGGCGCATCCGCTTGCGGGCCTACCCTCATTTCGGCGCATCCATCACACGTGTCGCGGCCCCAGAGGGAGCTCCACCCACGATCTCAGTGGGCGTGCCCGCATGCGGGCGGGCCCACGCCCATTTTGGCACCCCCCTCACGTTGACCGTGTTCCCATTGGAAGCTCTACCTAGGGTCTCATTGGGTCAGTTTGTATGCGGGCCTACGCCTATTCCCCTCACACGGATCGTGCCCCCATGGGGAGCTCCGTCTACCGTCTCAGTTGGCGCGACGGCATGCAGGCCCACGCCAATTTCGGGGCACCCCTCACACGGATCGTGCATGCTTAGGGAGCTTCACCTGCGGTGTTAGTGGGACCACATTTCGGCACTCCCTCCTCGCGGATCGCAGCCCCATCCCGAGCTCGACCCACTTTCTCAGTGGGCGCGTTAGCATGCGGGCCCACCCACGCCCACTTCGGGCACACCCTTCACACGGATCGTGCCACCATAGGGAGCCCCGCCTACCGATTCAGCTGGCGCGACCGAATGCAGGCCCACCTAGCCCCAGAAGGAGCTTCTAGCGTTTTAGTGGGTTCGACCGCATGCGAGTCTGCGCCTATTTCGCACATTTCCGAGCTTCCCCGAACTCTATCCTTCTCGCGGCACGCAGTCCATGAGAAGACGGTCGCATCTTGCGCTGCACGCAGACACATAGGGTTGCCCCGTACCAGGCTAATTGTTTTTGCTTCCTTTGGACCACCTGGGGGCATCTTGAACGTTTATTGTGGCCTTTTGAAGGCCTCTTGGTGGTCTTCGACCCTTCTGTAACGTCTTGGAGCCCCCTCCGCAATTTGCCTCGGCAAGGCAAAGCAAGAAGAGGCAGGACGCGGCACACGAAGGACACACGTGTCAACATTCGGCACTGCTACGTAGCACAACATAATACAACACACGCTGCCGTGTACCAACACGTAAGTGTACCTTCCTTAACTTCCTGACGTCTGCTGCCATTTGTGCTCAGGCGCTCGGCCGTTTCAGAACAACAGTTGGGCGCAGAAACTGGCCTTTGGGCCGTGCGCCCTCGACGCCGCGGTGCGCCGAGGCAGTGAGAAATGCCCGTTCGCGCCCGCACTGTCTGAACCCATGTCGCCCCCGCGGGCGCGCAGAAGGATGGCGGGTGATACCGACGCAAGCGGTGGCAGGGTTGATGCGAACGCGGGCGGCGGCGAAATTCCATGCGACCCTTCGGGACGGGAGCCTGGCAACCACTCGGGCCGGTCGTCTCCCTTGCCGCCTGCCGGGCAAAGCGGTTGGAAAGGGCACTAGCTTCATGCGGGGTACCCTGAGATGCACCTCTGAGGAGACGGTGTTTCCTCTGGTCAAGGATTCCGACGGCATCATCTGGCTTTCGGTTGGCCACGTCATCGTCCCAAACCCAGTCGAGTGCGACTATTGCAAGAATCTGTACGGGCGATCTCCAACTTCGTCCAGACTTACGATAATGGCTGCACCCCCGCTTTCCAGAGTATCGGCTCAGTCCTCCAGCACGAGCACGTCGCCAAGGCCATGAGAAAAAAAACAGACACTCGTCAATAGGATCCCCGTTCCTTCGAACCTTTGTCACTACGTGTGCTACCAGTGCCACGGCCGTAATGAGCACGTTGACCCCGCCTACTGTATTAGGCCTGGTACCATGAGCTTGAAACCCGAGCGGTACAACATGAAGGACAAGAACAAGAAGGAATCCCCGTTTCAACAGTTCACGACCATCAGCCTCGCCATGCACGCGGAACTCGCGAAGTATGGAAACGGGCCGGTCGTTCAGAGCGTCAACTTGGAGGAGGTCGACGAGGCCATCCTGAAAGATGAGCGTATGGGAGGCGCGGCTGACTTCACGATCGCTTTCGGCGGCGTCAATCACATCATGTACGCGTGCCTGCGCTGCAAGACGGCCCCTTCAAACCGAAAGCGTAGGTGCGATGTGGGCAGCAGGCACAGCAGGATGCACCTGCAGTCACCACCGCGGGAGGCGGCCACTGGAGGTGTGTCAGCAAGGAGTGCGGTCTCAGGTGGGGGGAGACAGGCGCCGACGCGTTAGAATATCCGGTCGTCGTCTTCCCGTCGCAACCATCATCCGCCATGGGGGCATGTCGTAGGCTCGTAGGCCAGCGACGGGGAGATCGAGGTCGTTGAACGGACCCATGAGCATAAGCCGTCCGAGCAGGCTCAGACGTTCTATTATGGCCCTGGTGACGTCGAGCAGGAGGGCACCCTGGCCGTGTTCAGGACGGGCAAGCGGGTCTCCACCATCCGCGCCCTCAATGATGACATCTCCCTGGGTGGCCTCATCGAGAAGGGGGCCGACGCTGTCATGGAGGCAATCGGCGCAAACAGCGAGGAGCCCTACAAGAAGCTCAGCAAGCACGTGCCCGCGTGCTCGGAGAAGAGGGTCTCCCTGGCCGAGCTCGGGCAGCTGGGCGTCCGTCCCGGCTGCGAGGGCCCGCGCCTTTCCCAGAAGACGTTCATGGGCAATTGCTAGCTGTTCGCCCACCCGCAGGGTGTCCCATCCTGGGCCATGAAGAACGCACTGTGCTCCTCGACTGCCTCCTCCCGCTTTTCGACAGTGAATGCGCCTGCGGCAGCCCGGCTGCCCAGCGGCCTAGTAAGCCAAAGCGCAAACAACGGCAGCAGCTATAGGGGCGCGCGTGTTAGCGCTGGCAGCGTGCCACCGAGTTGCTGATTGCGCGCCGTTAGTCCGGCTGATTAGCAATGCAGTTGCGGTGCGTCGGTGCGACTTTCTGGCGCCGGCAGCGGCGGGGCTCCGCGCGACCCTCCGGGGTGGGGGACTCGTTGACACGCGGGCGAGAGAGCTGGCAGCCGCGCGGCCTGGGGCGCGACCGACCGGGTCGGGCAACCGCTCGCAGCCTGCGCCGGGCTCGTCTCGAGGGGGGCCGCGCCCAGCTGAAGATTTCCACGTCTCCTCCTCATGCCTGGCCATGCGTGTCCTTGCGAAGGGGCGGGCGCGGCGTCGGCCAGCCTCGGGGGCGCGGCTCCTGGGGGTCGGGCGGGCGACGGCCGCTCTTGCAGGGGGGTTCAGTTTAGGCGCGTTGGCGTGCTTCCGTGATCGCCAGGGGTTCCCGTCGACTGGCGAGCGCCCCCCCGCTGCGAGGGCCGCGGGCCCCCCGCCCGTTCCGCAGCGGGCGGGGGGGGGGGGTCTTAGACGGGGGGGGGGGGCCCTTGCGACGGGATGGGCCCCGTGGGGGGCGGGTGGGGGTTCGGCGCCGCGCAGCGCGTCTACATCTCGCTTGATCTTCGCGCGGTTGGGACAGCCAGGTCGTCCCGCGATCCGCGACCGTTTTCGCTCATTCTATCTCGACGCCGACCTCGCCTGGTCAGAGCAGCATGCGGCAGCCGCCAACGATGGGCGGGTTCCTCGGCCTCAGCGACAGGCGCGCGGCGGCCTGGCCGCCGCAGCTGTGTCAGTGGGCGGCGCAGGGCATCGGCATGCTGGCCTGGCGGCTCGCCGCCCATCATGGGAGGGGGGACCTCGTCCGGGGCCGCTCGGTCGACGCGAGAGCGGTGCGACGCGAGTGCTCGGGGGCGCCCTGGAGGGCCCCTCTTATTCAGAGCGGCCCGCTCGGCGGAGGCGAGATCTACGTCAGCGGGGGCAGTGCCAGGGCCCCGCCGAGCAGGAAGGGGGGCCCCTTCCCCGTCCAGCGCCGCGGCAGGAAGGGCGCCGCCATGGCCTTCGCGGACTAGCGTCCGACGCACCCAGACCTGATCGAGGCGCTTCCGGAAATCGACGGCAGCGCCCTCGCAGTTTATTGCAGCTTGGATTCCGACGGCCGCGCGGACGCCATCTTTGCAGCGATGCGATCAGAAAAGGGGCGCGCGCCCTCGAGGCCCCCCCGCCAATGCTGAGGCGCGGGGCCGCCGCGCGGGCGAGTGCATCGCGGTCCCTGAGGGGCTTCCGCGACGGCGCGGGCCTTCTTTCGCCTGGTCGCCTGGGCTCGGACCTTCGGAAGTCCTGGGGCTTCAGGGCCAAGCTCTTCGTAGAGATCGTGCAGGCCGTGGGCGGCTGGGTAGCCGCGGAGCGCGCCCGGCGCAGGCGCGCCCGCCTGGGGCGGGCCGGGGCGAGCCGCTTGACCTCGTGAAGAAGGAGTTGTATGAGGCAGCCAGAGTGGCCCCTGGAGGTGGGCGCGAGCGCGAGCAGCGGCGGGGCTCCACGCGGGCCTTCGGGGCGGGGGCCTAGCCCGCGCGCTGGCGCGTCGCCCTCCCTTGCGGGCGCCTCGACCAGGAGGCGGCCGGCTGGGCCGTCCCAGAAGCGGCAAGGCACAGCAGCATGGAGGACCGCAGCGACTGGCTGCGGGAGCACCTCGCGGCCGACGCAAAGTCGGACAGGGTGGTCACTGTGTGCAAGGAGCAGTTGCGCTGCCGCCTCCACGGCAACTAGTCTATAGCAGTGTTGGCGGTCGTGGGGGGCGCGGACTGCAAGAGGCGACTCGCGCGCTGGCGCGCGCGCGTCCGCCGTGAACAATCGGATCCGGCGCAGGAGCTGCCGGAGGGCGCCGAGGCCCCCGGGGAATAAGTACGTCCTGAGCTATTACAGGGACTGGAGCGACGTCCCTTCCTCGTTCGTCTCCGCCGCCGCGTGCGCGCATCTGTTTGTCAAGATTCGCGAGGGGGGGGCGCTGGCCAGCGAGTTCGAGGGCGAGATCTACGGCGACATCGTCGGCGCCCACGGCATCTCCAGCGCCTCGGAGTGGTGGGCCACGCGGTTGGGCACCGCGCTGCGAGCGATCCCCCGCTTGCTGGGCAGCTTCCAGCCCGCGGGACAGGTCGGCCGCGCGGACGACCTAAAGGCGGTCGGCTCGGAGCGACGCGGAAGGCTGGCTGCCCTCCTCAGAGGATCATCCTCGTCGGCGGTTTTGGCTTCCTGGGGGAGATGGTGACGGCGCGGGGAGGCCTTGAGTAGGTCTGGATTGGCCTCTGCGACTACGCCGCGTGCACAATGTGCCTCTCGGATGTGAGAGCTGCTTGGCCGGTCAACTTGTGCTCGGAGATGGTCGAGCGCGGCGCCGTTCACGTGAAAGATGTGGCGGCTGGCTCGGGGCGCCTGGGCGTCGCGTTGATGGTCCTCGTCTGGGAGAGACCGCCCCATCGGGCCCGCGTTCGCCTGGGCATCCGGCGTCGACAGGTCCAGCAAGAAGAGGGCCTTTTGGCTGTGGGCGGCCAAGCTCGCGCTGACGTGGGTCGGCAGGCGAGTGGGCAGAGGTTATAGTCTCGTGGCGCCCATGAAGGTCGAGGGCGAGAGCACTGGGCGCTGTCGCTCGGGCGCGAAGGCCGAGGCGGGGCGCTGCTGGATAGGCAGCTTGGAAGTGCCCCCGAGCGGCGGCGCCCGAGGAGCCCACGCGATGGAGGTGGAGAAGTGCTGGTTCCCACGGGCGCGGGCCCAGGCCGACGATCCTAACGTGGTCGTCGTGGCGCTGGAGCTCCTCGGCGCGATGCCGCCGCGCGAAGCCGTTCTGGAGGTTTGGGGGCTCTGCCGGCGGGCGAGTCTCAACGCGGCGGGGTCGGCCAGCGACCTGGGGGTCGCCTGCGCGGGCGCTCTTCATCCATGAGCTCTCGGAGGAGCTCGGGTCGCGCAAAATTGCGCTGTCCTCGGACTGGACTCTCCGCGGCGAGGATCAGTGGGCGGGCGATTTCAGCAATTCGAAGGCGCGGGACTTCGACGACGCCCTCAGGATCCACGCGGCGCCCTGGGGTCCGAGGTGGCACGTGATGGGCGACTTGGCGAGGGCATGATAGGGGAATCCTCGAGGAGAGAGAGGCGCGAGCAGGGGGGGGGCGGTCGCCCCGCGAGAGGCCGCGCCCGCTGCGTGCGCCTCGAGACGTGGTGGCGGCTCCGTTCGACGTTCGCTCGGACTGCCCCCCCGCTCGGAGGCCGTGGGCCGCTCGCTTTAGAGCGCGCCCCGGGCGGGGCTCGGCGGCGGCCCCCTGGGCCTGGGGGGGGCTCAGCTCCCAGCGTCTTGAATCCCCGCCCTCTGGCGGGCCGCTCCGCGGCGGGGGCGCCCATCCTGCCCGTGGGCCCCCGCCCTTCCGCCGCGGGCGGGGCGGGGGTCCATGGCGGGGGCCGCGGGCGGGGCGGGGGTCCATGGCGGGGGGGGGGGTGCCTCCACCGCGGAGGGCCTCGTGGAGGACGGGTGGGGTTTCGAGACCGCGCTCATCGGCCCCGCGCGCGTGCGAGTGGCGAGCATTGGCGATTGCGCTGTGATAATTGAAGAAGGAGAGGGGTGAGGGGGGCCGCCCTCCACGGCCGTCGCGCCCTTCGCAGGCCCTGGCCGCCTGCGTGGGGCGGGCGGCCCTCCGCGCGGGGGTTGGGCAGAGGAGGGGCACCCATGCCGATAGGGTGGCCTGCGGAAGGTCGATGGGCCTCCGACGCTCGCAGCATCTGAGGGGGGGGCCCTGCCGGTGGCGGCGGTCTTCGCGTTGGTGGTTGGTCGTGGTTGTCCTTGTCGTGGCTGAATGTCCCCCCCCTCCGCGCCTCGGCCCATTTCCGCTTCTCCCTGCCCTGCCCGCCCCCGCGATCCTGCAGTTCCGCCTTCGCCTCCCCCGTCATCGGCCGCTGTCGCCGCTGTTGGGCCCTGCTTTGCATTGCTGGACCTAGGTGGGCCTTCTAATCTCTGCTGAGCCTTGCCAAACCGCGGCAAGCTTAGCTATGCGTTGCTCGGCGTTGCTCAGCTTCCTACGCCCTGCTGAGATCTGCTAAGCTTTGCGAACCATTCGTCTTGCCGCGTGATGCAAAACCCTCCTACGCCCTGGTAAGCAGTGTTAAGCCTTGGTAAGCATTGATAGGCCTTGCTAAACCCATCTAAGTCGTCCCATGGTTTGCTAAGTCTTACGAAGCTCTGCTGAGCCCTGCAAAGCTTTGCAAAGCCCCGCTCAATCTTGGTAAGCTCTGTCACGTCCATGTAAGCTTTGTTATGCCTCAATGCGCTATGGTATCCTCATCTTAAGCCCTGCTAAGCTTGGCCAGGCCATGCCCAGCCTTGCTAAGTTCTGCCGAGCTCTGCGGAGCCCTGCTACTCTCTGGTAAGCCTTCGTCAGCCCTGCGGCACCCTGCTAAATCCTGGGAAGCATTGCTCCGCCCTGCCAAGCTCTGCTAAGCCTTGCTGAGCCCTGGTAGGCCGTGGTAAGGCTTCATGCCTGGATTAGCCTTGCCACGCTCTGCTCAGCCATGGTAAGCTCTGCTCAGCCCTGCGTAGCCGTGCAGCCGTCACGGATCAGCGCCCGCGCGGTCCGTGGCCCCCCTCGCGCGCAGGCGCTGCGTGCAGCGCGCGTGCCCTGTGGAGCGCGCGGAGGCCGCGAGCGGCGGTCGCTCTGGCTGGTGGCGGCGGCTGCCGGGCTGGTGCTCTCGCCGCCGCGCCGCGGGCTCGGCTGCTCGGTCGGCTTCGGCGCCGACCCCCGCGCCCCAGGGAGGCGCTGGTACCTTCGCCCAGCAGCGCGTGGAGGTCCACGTGCACATCGCGAGCGGCGCGGGCGCCGCACAGGCCGGGCGCGCCGCGGCTGAGGCAGCCGCTGCAGTGCTGGGTGGGGCCCCTTGCGGGGCCGGCGCGTCGCCGGCCAAGGAGGCGCCCGAAGCGGGCGCAGCGGCGCGCCGCGGACGGGCTGGAGGCAGCCGGGCTCAGGCACGCGCCCCTCGCCCTGAGGGCTGGGCCTACGCTGTGTGGCGGCACCCTCTGCGGCCAGAGCTGCGGGGCGTGCGCTGCGGCGGCGGCGCGGCTTGGCGGGCGCTGTCGGCGACGCTGCCTGGCGGGCGCTACACTTTTTCGTCGGGCGCGCGGCTGCGGCGGTACGCCAGCGAGCCAGCTGCTGTGGCTGGCTACGAGGCGGAGGCGGCGAAGCACGAGGCGCCGCTGCCCGCGCCGCTGTTTGACGTGCTGGCCCCGCGGCTCGCGCGATGGCGACTGCGGTGCTGGGAGGGGCCGACCCGGCCAGTGCAGAGGAGTACGAGTGGGAGATGCGGGTGGCGGAGCTGACGGACGACTACATGCCCCTGCAGGTCGACGTCTCGGTGGTGCACGGTGGGCTGAGCTCGGACGGCGCGGGGATCGCGGTGCCGATCGTGCCGATCCGCAAGGCGGGCTCCGTGCTCACCATCGCGATCCCCGCGGACGTGTGCCCGTGGCTGAGCCCCCACTTCGCCGCGCTGGGCGACCCCGTGCACTTCCTCCCGGCGGTCGACGGCCAGATGGCGACGGTGGCGTTCGTGATGGTCAGCTCGGAGGGCGGGGCTTGGATGGAGCCCGCTATGGGCAGCGGGCGCTGGGCTGGCGACGGACGCTGGCCTGCGGCGCGAGCGCTGGTTTCCCTTGCAGCGTCTCTGCCGGCGGCGGTGGCGGACGACGACATCAACCCAGAGCGGGACTACTCCAGCGCGCTGGTCCCCGCCGCGCACGCGCTCAGCCCAGAGGACCTCGACGCGGTGCTGGGCGGCGCGCTGGGGTTCGGGCCCTGGCGCGGGCTACTGCGCTTGCGCTGGCCGCCGCCGGAGCCCGAGCCTGGAGGCGAGGGCCAGATCGTGGGGCCCGACGGGCAAGGGCTGCCGGGCGTCGTGACCCCGCCCGACGGGGGCGCCGCTGCTGCAGCGGCCGCGCCTTGGGAGCCGTGGCACCCGCCCGAGCCTCCCGCCCGCGCTGGTGGCGTCGCCAATGCCGCTCGCCTGCAGGACTCTGCTGCTGCCGCTGCTCGGGCTGTGACACCCCGGGCCAAGAGCGCAGCCTTGGCCGCTGGCCGCGCGCGAGCTGCGCGGGGGCGCGCTGGACTTGCCAGCAGCGCCGAGGAGGAGGACAGCGCCGCCGAGGGCCGCCGCGGCCCCGCGCGGCCCCGCCCGCCCGCGGCCTCGGGCCGTGCGACGGTCGCTTCGCTGGCTGCCGTGCTGGAGCGCCTGGAGGCTTCGAATCAGGACGTGCTGAGGCGCATGGCGATGCTGGAGACGGTGGGGCGCCCGCCGGCTGGAGGCGCGGGGTTAGTTGGCGCCGCGGAGCCCGCGCTGGGCGAGGCCGCGCCCGCCCTGCCCGCATCCGCCCCCTCGCATCCGCAGGTGCTCGGACCGGCGCGAGGCGCCGCTGCGGAGCAGGCGGCGGTGCAGTGGGCGCTGCAGGCCTCGGGCGCGCCGCCTCTGGCTCGCTTCGGGCAGCCCGTAGGCTTGGCGAGCCCGCTGCCGGTCGGGGCCGTGCCCGCTGCTGCAGGCGCGGCTGCGCGAGGACCCCACGCTGGGGCGACTGCAGGGCGTGCCAGCGATATGCCTCTGAACGCGGTGCAGGTAGCCCAGGCCCGCGCCAACTGCGCTCGTGCTCACGGCTTGCCGCTCGCCGACGTCACCGAGGGCGAGGTGCGCAGGTCGGCGGAGGGCATCTGCGTGGTGCCAGGCCGGGGCCGGCGTGCCCGCCGCCGGGCGCGGGGACGCGGTGGCCACAGCCCCGCCGCCGACGGCAGGAGCCTCGCCGGCCGAGCTAGCCGCCCATTGGGCTGCCGTGGCCGAGCTGCAGCGGATGCCTGCTGGCGCCGCGCCCGACGCGCTGGCCGGGCTATTGCAGCCGGGCCTCGACGATGGGTCCGCCGCCGCTGGCAAGATGCCAGGGGCCCGCGGCGCTGCCAGCATGGAGATGCTGCGTCGCGATCTGCAGGCGCGTCCAGCGGCATGGGCAGCCATGATCAGGAGGAACGCGGAGGTGGCGCTGGCGGGCACTTCGGACGACCCCGACCCGCGCGTGCGCAGCCTGGTGGAGTTCGTGGTCAGGACGGGCACGATCAACCGCGGCATCAGGACGGCGGCCTACCTAGGCTTCGGGATCGCGCGGGTCGCGGACCTGTTGGCGCGAGGCCAGCTCGAGGCGGCGGAGGCGGTCATCCTGCTGCTGCTGACGGCGCTGGAGCAGGCGCAGAGGGACAACGGGCGCTGGCAGCTGGCCTGGCTCCTCACTCACCTGCCGAGCCGCCGTGGTCTCAGATGACGGCAGGCTCCAGCGGCTCGGTGGACAGCTTGCGGCCCTTCGGCCACCTGGCCGAGCCGACGTGGACCGCGGCAGCGATGGCCCACACCAAGGACGCAGCTTCCCTGGCCGAGATCAGGAAGAAGTTCAACGACGACCGCGGCGGCGGCAAGAAGGACGAGGAGGAGCAGCGGCCGCCCAAGCCGCCCCCCAAGGGCGGGCGCGGCGGAGGCGGCAAGGAGGGGGCGTAGCCGGCGACGCTGGCTTGCTGGCGGACATCGAGGCTGGTTTGCCGCGTGCGCAGATCGGCATGGTGCGCCGCTTGCTGCAGGCCAGGACCAGTCTGGCCTACTACTTGTATTCGTGCATGCATTTCTCCGGCACGCCGTCGGACTCCCCGGCGCGTACCTGCTTGAAGTTGTTCCCGATGGCGCCGCCCTACTCGTGGACCATCGGCGCCCCTCCGTACTCCAGCCCGCGCTGCAGGGACCGCTGGAAGAAGGCGCAGGTGGCCAAGCTGCAGGTGAACCTGATAGTGGTCGCGTGCTCCTTCCTGGCGCTCTGCTCGCGGCGGCGGTGCCCGGGCGCTTACAGGACGGGGATGGGCTTGAGTGAAGTGCAGCGAGAGCGGCTCCCGCACCTCCTCGCCCTTGCCAAGCAGTGGAGCCGCACGCCCTGCCACATGAGCGGCCGCGGCAAGATGAAGCTACAGGCGCCTCTCGAATTCCGTATGCAACTGCGTGGAGCCGCACCCGAGCAGCAGGTGCGCGCTCCGCCCCCTCCCGCGGTGGCGCCCTTCGTGGCCAGCCGCGCGACCTTCTGCAAGCAGGAGGCCCAGTTCGACCCTGTGTACCACCTGCCCGTGTTCGAGGCGGCGGCGTACCTGGACCCGGAGCTGATCTTGAGGGACATCCCGCTCGATCATGGCTTGAAGGCTATGCGGCAGTCTGGGAGCATGAATCAGATCGTGGAGTTCGCTTCGGATTTGGATCGCTCCCACAAGCTGTGTTTGGCGAGACCAGACGAGGTGCACATGGGCCAGGCCTGTAAGCTCATCCCGGTCTACCGTGATCAGCACCGAGATCGGATAGTGTGGGATCGCAGGATACGGAACGCGGCCGAGCACGCGCTGCAGTCGGGCAGCCAGCGCCTGGTCTCTGGGCACGCGCTGTGCGACTACGAGCTGAACGAGGGCTTCGTACCTGTGCTGTTCGCGGAGGACGCGTCCGACTTCTACCCCGCCTTCGACTCTACGCCGGCCAGGGCGCGCACCAACATCCTGGGGCGCGAGGTCCCCACGCACTTGCTGAATCACACTAAGGCGTACGCGGCGCGCCGCGCCGAGCTAGGGGAGCACTGCGTGGTGTGCGTGGCCAGTCTGCTCATGGGGGACCTGAACGCCATCGACTTCGCCCGGGGCGCGCACGAGGCCGTGCTGCAGGCGGGGGGCTCGCTGGCGGACGCGGTGCGGGTGCAGCACCATCGGCCGTTCCCGAGGGGCGCGCGCGCGGAGCTGCTGCAGATCGACGACCACATCGGCCTGGGGCAGCGGGCGCAGGGCTCTCGGCAGCTGCCGCGCGAGCTGGTGCAGTCCTTCGCTGGAGCCCGCGAGCAGTATGCGCAGGTGGGCCTGAGGGCCGCGGACGACAAGCTCGTGGCAGGCGCATCCGCGGGCTTCGCGCTGGGAGCGGAGGTGCTGTCTTCGGGACATATCGGCGCTGAACGACTGCGGCGTGCTGGCCTGGCGCTGCTATCCTCTGGCATTGCGGCGCATGGCCTCGCGACGGGCGCCCTGCTCAGGAGGGCGGTGGCTAGCTGGGTGCATGTCGTGGGCTTTCGGCGGCCCGCTATGTGCCTGCTGGACGAGGTGTTCCGTGCGCTGCCCGCGGTGCCGCTCGACGATGACGTCTTCGAGCTGAACGCGGGCGCTCGGCAGGAGCTGATGCTGTTGTCCATGCTGGCGCCCACGCTGGTCACCAACCTCAAGGCGAGGGTAGCGAGCAGGGTGGTGTGCAGCGACGCCTCGCACCACTTCATGGTTGCCGTCGAGGCCGACGTCGCCCAGACGGTGGTTCGCGAGATCTGGCGGCACAGGGATCAGCGCGGGTGGTACACGCAGCTCACCAGCAAGGAGGTGGCCTACATCCGCGCGCACAAGCGACTGGAGGATCGAGCCTGGCTGCAGGACATAGACGAGGAGCTGCGGCCTGGGGCTAAGGTGCCGCGCTGGCATCTGCTCGAGGTGTTCGACGTGCTGGAGGTTTGCAGCGGGCGCGATGCCCCTTGGTCCTCGGCGCATGCGGCCGCCAGGCTTCGAGTGGGGCCCAGGATCGACCCCAAGACGCATCCGCTTTGGGACCTGCGATCCGTCCGCATCGTAGAGTGGATCCTCTTCCTGATCATCAACGGCAGGGTCGCCTACGTGCACTGCGCCCCGCCGTGCGCCACGTTTTCGTTGGCGCGGCAGCCGCGGCTGCGCTCGCGGGCCCGGCCGCTGGGCCTGGATCCTGCTGATCCTGCTACGCGCCTGGGCACCGTTCTGCTCTACAGGGTGCTCCTCATCCTGTGGGCCGCGCTCAAGTGCGACAGGCTCGGGTCCATGGAGCATCCCGCTGGCGCTTATTCGTGGTACGTGCCGGCGCTGCGGTCGCTGCTCGCCAAACCCGGCTGCGGCTCACTGGACTTTGCGGCTTGTGCCTTCGGCGCGCCGTACCAGATGCCGACGCGGCTAGGTCTGGTGAGCGGCGGCTTCCTGCAGCCGCTGGCCCGCCCCTGCGTGCATGGGCGTCGCGCCCATAGCCGCCCGCTGGTCGGTGCGACGCGCGCGGCGCCGGCGGCCGCCTACACGGCCGAGCTGTGCGCCGTCTGGGCCGAGCTGACGCGCGCGCATCTGGCAGCCAGGGCCCCGCTGGGAGGACCCGAGCAGGCGCCGGACGCGGCGGGAGGGCGACTGGAGCAGCCGTTCGTCAACGACCTGATCCGCTGCTGCCGCTGGCGCGCGTTCACCTGTGACCCCTGCCCGCCGGCGACGCACGTCAACCGCTTGGAGGTGCGCGCCCACCTGAGAGCGAGGGCGAAGGCGGCGCGGCAGCAGCCTGGGACCCGACAACCGTTCCTGCTGGACTCGACCGTGGCGCTGGGTGCCTGCTCGAAGGGTAGGTCGGCGTCGCGCGCGCTCAACGACGACCTGAAGGTGGGCCTGCCCGATGTGCTCGGTTTCGACGTGTACCCGGGGTACGACTTCGCGCCCACGCGCCTGATCCCTGCCGACGGGCCGTCTCGGGGCCGAGGCATCGCCCCTCCATCGGCCACGCCGCCCGCTTGGTGGCGCTCGGCGGTAGCTGGCGACTTGCGGAGCCTCGACCAGTGGACGCGCGTGCCGCGCCAGCGGCGCGCCGAGTCGGAGTGGTGTCGCATGACGTTCAAGCTGCTCTTGTGGAAGCAGAAGGACTTCGACAGCACGCTCGGCTACCCTGGCGAGGGCCCTGCCAGCGGGGCTTCAGGCGGATGCAGGCTGATCGCCGTGGTCTGGACCAGCCTGATGATGATGACGAGTGGCGCTCGCGTGGCAGGCGAGCCGCCCGATCCTCGGCCCGCGGTCGACCTCCGCCTGCGGCCGCAGACGGGCACCAAGACGGCGCAGATGAGGCGCCTGCTGCTGAAGCAGTTCGAGACGTGGCTCCTGGCGCTGGACGGTGGCTGCACGGTGGCGGAGCTGGTGGTGCAGCTGCCTCGGTTGGTCTCCAACATCGTCGCCTCGTACGGCCAGGTGCTTTACTCGCGTGGCAGGAGTTTGAAGCACTACACGGAGACCATCGACGCGATCGTGGACGTGGAGAAGTCTTTGCGACGACACATGGGCGCGGCGTGGGATGTGTCGCAGGCGTGGCAGTACGCCGTGCCGACGCGCCATCGTTTCCCCACGTCGCTGCCGGTGTTGCGCGCGCTGGTGGCCTTGGCGCTCAGCTGGAGGTGGATCGACATGGCCGTCCTCATCTTCTTGGCCTTCACGTGCATGCTGCGGCCTGGCGAGGCCCACGGTCTGACCTACTCGGACATCTTGTTGCCGCCCCAGCTGATGGCTGACAACGAGGTGTGCTACGTCAAGGTGCGCGAGCCCAAGGCCCGCTGGGCGGTGGCGCGCATGGAGCACGCCAGGTGCGACGAGGTGGCGTTGGTCAGGCTGCTGGCGGTGCTGGCGGCAGGGCAGCCGCCTGGAAGGAAGATCTTCAGCGGCTCCTACCAGCAGTTCCGGCGGCGCCATGACGCGCTGGTGCATTTCTTGGGCATCGCGGCCACGGAGGCGCACGGCCTGACGCCCGCATCTCATCGTGCCTGCCGCGCACCCAGTGGAGCGGCAGGTGGAGGCAGCTCAAGTCCATGGAGATCTACATCCAGGAGGTGGCGGCGGTGGCGTTCGTGCCGAACCTGTCGCAGGCCTCGCGAGAGCTCGTGGGGAGCTTCGCCGCTGCGCTGCCAGGCCTGCTCGCACGGGCCGTGGCCTTCCCCGTGCGTGGCAAAAACTGAGTGCTTGCTGCTTGTCTCACAGCCTGGGAAGTTGTCTTCATGCATGCTGTGTGTCTCGCTTAGCATGTTTTGGAGGTTTGGGTCAGGGAGCCGATTTGTGTTTGCGTTCATGCCTAGTCAATCTTCTTGGTGTCGATGCGCTCACGGCTCCGACCATAGCAACGCTTCCTGAGTGCCGGAGAGAAATAGTTGCGGGAGGAGTTAAGCCTGACTTGTAGGCTTTGGGACGGGAGCAATGGCCTCAGCCGTCACCCACCCACCTCCCCGCACCTCCAGGGAGCCGATTTGTGTTTGCGTTCATGCCTAGTCAATCGTCTTGGTGTCGATGCGCTCACGGCTCCGACCATAGCAACGCTTCCTGAGTGCCGGAGAGAAATAGTTGCGGGAGGAGTTAAGCCTTTTCCAAGGTCGCGAAAGCCTTGTTCGGCCGTGCTAAGCCTTGCCATGCCTTGGTCAGCCTTGGCAGGCATCGCTGTTTCATGTTCAGCCTTGCGTTAAGTCCTGCTGAGCCTTGCTCAGCTCCGCTAAGCCTCGCTCAGCCCTGGTACGCCTTTATACGTCCAGCAAATCTGTGTTACGCCTCGCTACGTTTTGGTAACCTAAAATTAAGCCCTGCTAAGCTCGGTCAAGCCATGCCTGGCCTTGCCAAGTTCTGCCAGGCTCTGCGGAGCCCTGCTGCGCTCTGGTAAGTCTTCGTCAGCCCCGCGACACCCTGCTAAGTCCTGCAAAGCATGGCTCAGCCCTGCTGAGTTCTGCAAAGCTTTGCTAAGCCCTGGCCGACCATCCTTGGTAAACCTTGCCACGCTCTGCTCAGCCCTGGTCGTTCTGCTCAGCCTTGCTTAGCCCTGCTAAGCCCTGCTAAGGTCCGTATAGTTATGTTCGGCCCAGCTATGCCTTGCTGAACCTTGATCGGCCTTGGCAAGCTTTGCTGTTCCCTGCTGAGCCTTGCGTGGTCTTAAGCCCTGCTGAGCTTTGCTGAGCCCTGCTGAGACTTGCTAGTTTTTGGTAAACTTTGCCTAGCCTCGGTAAGCCCTGCGAAGCTCAGGTAAGCTTTGCTCTCAGCTTGGCTAGCCTGGCTAAACTCAGCTACGCTTGGTAAATCTCGCGAAGCTCTTGCTGAGCCTTGCCCAGCCTCGGCAGCCTCGCTTTGTCCTGCTAAGCCTTGCGCCGCCTTGAACACTGCTGAGCGCTGCTGATCCTTGCTAAGACCTGGCAAGCCTTGGCAAGCCTTGGCCGTCCGTGTTAAGCACTGGTCGTCCTTGCTAAGCCTTGCTAAGTCCTGGTGCGCTCTTCTGGCCACTGCTAAGCTTTAGTAAGCTGTGCTAAACCCTGGTTTGCTCTGCTAAGCCCTGCTAAGCTTGGTAAACCTTGCTAAATTCAGCTAGATGTGGTAAGGCTTGCTGAGCCCTGTCATGCCTTGCTGCGCCCGGGTAAATATTTTCAGTCTAGCTCAGACCTCGCAAACCCTGCCGAGCGTTGCTAAGCTCTGCTCAGCATCGTTGTTTCCTGGCAAACTGTGCTACGCAGTGCGAAGTCAGTCTAAGCCCAGCGAAGGCCTGCTCGGTCTTGGTTAGTTGTGCTAAGCCTTGGTGGGCTTCGGTACGCTTTGGTAAGCCCTGGTAAGCCCTGGTAAGTTCTGCCTAGCCCCAGCAAGTCTCGCTGAGCTCTGGTAGGCCATGGTGAGCTCTTTACATAAGTCGGAATTCTTGGTCGGAGTCCTTGCTCAGGGGTCCTTACCAAGGAGTCCTTACTATGTAGTCCGTATTCGGGAGTCCTTCTGCATGGATCCTTCGCAGGGAATCCATCATCGGGGTTCCTTGTCAAGGAACAAATAGTGCGGAGTGCGGTATCCTTCGTGCGAAGTTCGAAGTATGGAGTTCGAAGTAAGGAACTCGTAGTAGGGGCTCCTTTGCGAGGGATCGTTAACGGCTGGTCCTTATCAGGAACACGTAACACATGATCAGTCACAAAGGTGTCGCCATTATGGAATTCATAGGATGAATCACTGGGTCGAAAGCCTTATGTAAGGGCCCCGCAAGAATTTCTTGTCAATGGATCGTCAGTAGGGAGTCCTTAGTAAAGACCGGTTTGTAACGAACCCGTGTTCGATGATATTCGGTCGTATGTATTGTTTTTGATTTTCATAACAATCGGGAGCCCTGGGTATGTAATCTTTGGTAAGGAATCCTTAGCAAAATGGTTCCCGAACCAGGGGGCTTTAGTTTGTGGCCCTTAGTCGGATAACCTCCTGCATGGGGCCCCTAGTAGGGAACCGTTCGTAGGGAGTCCTTACCAAGGAACCACAAGTTGTGATTTTGTACGGTGTCCGTAGTAACGGTTCCGAACCATGGAATCCACAGCAAGGTGCCCTCAGTCAGGAAACTTCGATGCAACAGATCATCCACGAGGAAGATTTAGCAGGGGCAATCCTTAGATCGCCGTCGTCGTCGTCGTCGCCGCCGTCGTCGTCGTAGTCCTCTCTGGCTGGTTTTGGCCAGTTGAAAGCACACCTTGGGCTCCGCCCCGAAGCGAGCGGTCGTGGTGGTTGACTGGTTGCCTGGAAGGGGGGGGGACAAAACACATGGTTGATATAAACAACTTTTTCACCCCTTGCCCTCCCCCCAGAATCAAGCCTTGCAAAGACCTCAGAGGGACCTCTAGCGCCCAGGTCCCAACATCCAGGTTGAGAGCGTGAGAGTGCGAGACAGAGAGACAGAGAGAGAGAGAGCGATATATATATATATATATATAGAAAGAGGGAGAGAGAGAGAGAGAGAGAGAGAGAGAGAGAGAGAGAGAGAGAGAGAGAGAGAGATAGAGAGAGAGAGAGAGAGAGAACGAAGAGAAGAGAGAGAGAGAGAGAGCGAGGAGAGATTGCGAGAGAGAGAGAGAGAGAGAGAGAGGAGAGAGGAATAGATTACATACGTAGAGGGGGAGTGGGGAAGAGAGAGAGAGGGAGAAGAGAAACATAACACATCTAATGAGAGAGAGAGAGAGAGAGAGAGGAGAGAGAGAGAGAGAGAGGAGAGAGAGAGGGACGAGGGAGTGATTAGAAAGAAAGAGAGACCATAGAGAAAATATAATTAACCTAATATATATATAGTGGAGAGAGACTGAAAAGAGAGAGAGATGAGAGAGAGAGAGAGAACGAGGAGAGATGAGCGAGAAAGAGACATAGAGAAGTAGAGAGAGGAGAGAGAGGGAGAGAAGAGAGACGCTAACACATCAAATCGAGAGATGCGAGAGAGAGAGAGAAGAGAGAGAGAGGAGAGAGAGAGGGATGAGAGAGGGAGAGGAGAGAGAGAGAGAGGTGGAGGGAGAGATAGAAAAAAAAGAGAAAAACATATATATATACATATATATTTATTAATATAGACATATATTTATTTATTCTAATATATATCTCATAATTTTATATGATATATATAAAGAGAGAGAGGAATTATATATATATATATATATATATATAGAGAGAGAGAGAGAGAGAGAGGAAGAGTTGAGAGAGAGAGAGAGAGAGAGAGAGAGATAGCGAGAGAGAGAGAGAGAGAGAGAGAGAGAGAGAGAGAGAGAGAGAGAGAGAAAGAGAGAGAGAAAAAAAAAAAGAAAGAGAGAGAGAGAGAGAGAGACCGGACAAGTAGGCGGACCAGGGTCCGTCCGCGAGGCGCACTGCGGTGCGACAACCCGCAAAACACTATTAGCGTCGGTGCAGCCTTAAGATACGAGGGCGGGCAACAGACCCCCTCCCCCGGCGCATTGCGTCTGAAGCTACGGACGGCGGACAGACTGTGAAGATCTCACGTGTCAGACCGCGTGACGAAGAAGGCCCCAACAAGAAAGGCGACGTGCGGACACGCGGCTAGGCGGCTTGGCAGACCGCCAGTTGGGCGCTCGGCTGCAGCGCGGCGCGCAGGGACGGGGCACCCCCCGCCCCCACGCCCTGACACCGTGGACGCGGGGCCACGCGTGCACACGGGCAGGCAGAATGGCGGAGATTAGCGCGGGGCTCCAGGCGGAGCGCCGCGGAGCGATGACAGCATAGCATGGAGGGTGAGTGGCGGCGCAGCACCATCGGGCGGGGGTGTAAGCAGCTCGGCGAAGGCACGACCGGCGCGGTGGAGGCGCTGGAGCAAAGGGCCTTTACGGGCTTGGGCAGCGGCAAGGTCGGCGGCGAGAGCTGCGCACCTCTGCTGGAGAGCGGCCGTAGACTGGGACAGCTCGGCTTCGCGGTCGGCGCGGGGCGGCTGCTCTGTGCCCGCGGCCGCGGGCCTCGCGGCGGGGACGAGGTCATCGGTGCGCCTGGCCAGGTGGAGGACCAGCGCGGTGCGGCGGTCCGTGCGCTGGCGGCCGTCGCCGTGGCGAGGCGACTGGAGGGTGTCGCGCGGTCCCAGGGCTGAAGCCGCCGGGGCCACGCCCCCTGAGGACGGAGGAGCCGCAGCCTCGCAGCCTGCAACAGTAGGAGCGTGGTCGGGGCGCGACGGCCTGACTGGCTCAGTGCCCTGCGGGGGGGCTGAAGCCGCCCCCGCGGGCTGGCGCTGGTGGGGGGACGGGGTTGGTGGCACGGAGGGACCAATCATGATGCCGTGCGAGGGCTCAGAAGTCGGCCGCGTGACCGGGTGGCGACTCGATGAAGCGGCATCGTCGGCAGCGTGGGGTGTCGGCGGGACGTCGTCTATGCTGCCACCCAATCCGAGGGGATCATAAAAGTCCTCGTCGGCGTCTTGGAGGTGAGCGACGTCATCATGTGGGTGCGGTGCGGCTCTCGGTGGCGGAGTCGAGGTGGGCGTCGTGCGGATGCCCGACGGGGCAAGGTTGGCGCTGGCTGGCCCGTCGTCCAGGAAGTCTAGTCCCCCGCCGAAGCCGAACGGGTTGTCCTCCTGTTCGTCGTATATCGCCCGTTGGGCCTCGGCCCAGAGCTCGTCCGGGTTCTGCGGGATGTCTGGTCCAGCCGCGGGTGGTGCCTGGTCCGACAGCAG